CTGCCTTACAGGGTCACTGTGAGTTGGAAGGGATTCGATGGCTGTGAGCATTAGTATATGAGGCTGGGAGAGGGTCACAGGTCCCTCTGGCTGAGAGTTCCCCAAGTCTGGTTATTTGCCTGAAATGTGGCGAGACCTGCAGCATGCTCCCTTTGCCCATTTGCCCTGAGCCAAATGCTCAGGCGAAGCTGGCCAGCACCGCTCCATTGCTCCACAATCACGTTTCTCCTCTCAGTTCACCGAGGCTGGCTGTTTACAAGTGTGCTGAGAATCGAAGATGCTGCTGCCCTGATTTCAAACTCTATAGCTCAGTCTGTGTTTCCACTTCTGAACCCAGTTCCCAGCTTTGCGCCTTGTGTTTCTCTCCTCCAGCATTTCCCACGTGCTATGCTGTTGTCAGGTAAATTCAAACGGTCAGTGCACCCTCTCTGTGACTGTGATGTTGGGAGGTGCCTCGAGTTGATTTTGATTCATAGAGACCAGACGTGCAATCTTTTCCAGTTGTGGATCACCAGCTCTTTCTCCCACAGAATCACTGGGTGAATTTGAACAGCCAGCCTTTCAGTTAGCAACTGAGCATTTAGTCACAGGGCCACAGAGCTGCCAGACTCTGGGCCTTCTGCTCTGTGCATCATTCCACTTCTGGAACAAAGTCAGACCATCCTGTGATTCTGTCTTACCTTTTAGATCTTAGTCACCTGGGTGTCTCCCCACTTGCCCCCCCTCCAGTATGGTCATAGAATTTTAGCTGCTTTCTGATCTGCCCTGCATAACTTTTAGTTCTAGAAAAGAATGAAAGCCAAAGGCCCCCGTCCTTGACAGGAATTGTCCTTCTACTTGGGTCTGCAGAAATGTTTCCACTTGATTCATCTTGCATCTGACTGACTATCCCTTTTTGTGGTCTGTTGTTACTGTGTGCTGCTGAGTGAATTCCAGTTCGTAGTGATTCCGGAGCACTGGGAAGAACTCCCCCATAGGGGAACACCGTAGCCTGTAGTCTATGGAAGTCGGCTGTCACAGCTGTCTCCCAAGGAGCTGCTGGTGGTTTTGAAATGCTGACCCTTTGGTTTGCAGCTGAGCGCTTAACCACTTAGCCACTAGGGCACCTTTTTGTGGCCTTCGTGGATTCATTTATTCTCTTTCAGGAAAAACTCACTCACTGCCATTGAGTCGATTCTGACTCATAGGGACCCTATAGGACAGGGTAGAACTGCCCCATGGGTTTCTGAGACTGAAACGTGTCTTGGATTAGAAAGCCTTGTCTTTCTCTAGCTGAGCAGGTGGTGGTTTTGAACCACTGACCTTGCAGTTAGCAGCCCAACCTGTAATCACTGTGCCACCAGGGCTCCTCCCTTTCAGGAGGATTGCTATTCTTCGTTGAGAAAGCCCTTGAACTCTGTTCCCCTCATCTAGAAGTCTGTGACCTACATTTCAGGAACTGCCAAACTTCACCTCCTAACCAATTCTGCATCCTAATTTCTTTTGGTTTTGCTTTGATTTTTTTTTTTGGAGCTAGTCCAATCCTCTCTTAAACTACCAGGCCCAAAGCCTCATGGTGGCCTTCGACTCACCCTTTCTCTTGCTATCCAATCAGTCAGTTGCCCAGTCTTCTTGGTTCACCTCTGGAATGTCACTGCACCCCCTTCTGTTTATCCCCCCGCCCCTTCCCTGCCCAGCCTCCAGCCAGGTGCCTGCAGTCTGTCCCACCTTCAGTGCATCCTCTACGCTCTTGCCAGATTGCTCTCTGGGAAGTGTTGGCGATCATGTTACTCCATGATTAACCTGTTGCTTGTGAAATTAAGACCGAACGACTTAGCTGGGTTTTTTATGGTAAGCTCTTTCTTTAACTTTCCAATTCTCTCCTCCCCAGTCATCTTGTCCTGGGCTGGGGAGCCTGCTCAGATGTGTACCAGCACACATCTCCCTCTTCCTGATGTGCACTTCCCCCACTCCCCCAGCCTCGGGCCAGCTTCCCTCTGCTGTTGATTCCTCTGTCCTGGTCATCGTCTCAGCTTTGCCTCCAGTCAGAGCACTCAGCAAGGCTCTACACACTTCTAATGTCATTCGTTTACCTGTCCTGCTCAATAATTATTTATGGATTTATCGGAACCCCTTCACCTTGTGTGAGTTCTTTGATTTACTTCTCTGTACTATCTGAGTTCTCTACATATGACAAGCACTTGGCAAGTGAATGTAAGTTGCTGCTCAGTATGTTATTTACAGTTTTTCTTTGGGTATACGCTTATTTAATAAATGAGCTAGGTTATAAAAACTTTTTAGTTTTTTTTTCTTCTGTCCTTGATGAGTTAATCCACAGTCACGTGCGAGACCACAGGATACTCATTTTCAAGAACAGCCTAATTTAGAGGGAAAGGTATATGCTTGTATTTGATTAAGTTCAGTATTTTATTTTCATAATTTAACATACTTTATTACATAATAAAATACAGTAACATAATTACTGTTTTAAGATACTTGAAGTTAAATTTAATAAACACATAACTGGCTCCACACCTCTTTTTTTCACCCCTAACTTTTCTTTTCTACTCTAAGGGACTCAAAAAAGTTATTTCCAAAAAAAAAACCTGACCAGTGGTTTTACTAAAATATTAATTACTGACAATACAAACTTCTGGAAAGAACACTGGAAAATACCTTGTATGTTGTTTAAGTTCAGTATTTTAATCTCAGTAACCTCAGAAGACTTAGAAGGGTCAGTGATTTCACGAGGTTTGGAGTTTTGTCATGTGATGTATTTTAAGTAGTTCCCATTGTTCTAACCTGAAAGCGTGCCCCATGTCTTCCTTCTATCACGTGTCTAAATGCAGCTCCCCGCTGTCTAGTCAGTTCAGATTCACAGTACTCTTTTGGAATACTATCCTCAATTTCATGCGATAATTAAAAATAATGCAGTGACCACCCTCAAACCTAACAATTTGTGAAATGTGTTCTCTGGAATGGATTTTAAAACAGAATAAGTGCATATTCTATTTTGATAGAAAATCCCAGTTCTCTAAAAAGTATTTTCTCATGCTTAGTATTGCAATCAATCTTTGAATAATCAATCTGATGAGTAAATATTGTTTTTAAACTAAAAAAAATTGTAGCTCTGTACTTACTCATAAATTAAGTACAGGAATCTCTTCCTATTTATTAGCCATTGACTCTTGTCTTTTGTGAGTTGCTGCTCCCTATCATTTGCCTATTTTTCTATTGAGTTTTTATTTTTTAGCTGCATTTGAGGATCATAGAGGATCAAAGGGATATATGTAGTGTGAAAGAATAGTTGACATTAAGTACTTGTAACTCCAGAGGGTGTGTCACAGACTCACTCACTCACACACTCAGTCTTAAGACATCAGATTCTGTCATCTTGACAGAGTTTTTCTTGGTGCTACTTGAAATGCCGAGAGCATTGGCATTAAAGTGTTAAGTGTTATAAGTGGGGCCAAATAGGTATTCAAAATGCAGGCTTTAGAGTGCGTTATATAAGAGGCAGGGGCACGCCTGTGTGCATTAGTGTGAGACCACAGGATATCCATTTTTAAGAGCAGCCTAATTTAGAGGAAAAAGATATGCTTGTACTTGATTAAGTTCAGTATTTTAATCTCAGTGGCCACAGAAGATTTAATAGGACCAGTGATTTTATAAGGTTAGGATATGGTATATTTTAAATAGCTTCCATCACTTTAGTCTTAAAGTGTCTTCTATATCTTGGTCTTCTCCCCCGTCTTGGTTGTATATAAACTCAATCCATTCTGATTCATAATGACCCAACAAGATAAACTAGAACTGCCCCATGTGGGTTCCTGAGGCTATTAGTCTTTGTGGGAACAGACAGTCTCCTCTTGGATTGACTGGTACGTTCTAACTAACTGCTGACCTTGCAATTAGTGGCTCAAGTCATAGAACCATCACTGTGGCACAGTAGAAGCCATTTGTCTACTGGAGTAGCACCTTAGCATTCGGAGGCAACAGTATGCTAGTGCTAGGGTGTTTTATGTCATGTAGTTTGAAAGTTAAGTTAACATGCATGGACTTCATTTGGTAAACATATTAATTTTGCTAACCTCCTATACATACCATCATCGTTAATATCCCTGGATTGTATGCAGCTCATTTGGAAGTGACTCATTTAATTATTTGTGTACACGATGGATAAACTGTCTTGAATTGCAAAACAGTTCTGTCTTTCTTTCACAGAGCCTGCATATCCAAAATTAGACTCACATTTTGCGCACTGAGCACTCAGTAGCGTTCCTGACACACTGTAAATACTCCAAGAATATCAGGTGAATGAACATATGAAGAAGAGCCATAATTTAGAAAAGAATTAGAGGACCAGAAAAAGAGCAGGCGAAGCTTCTTAAATTGCTTGAATAAGCTTTTCTCCCCATAAACGAGGGCACATGCATATTTCTAAGCCTTCAAGTGGATGTATAAACCAGTACAGACACTTAAAAAAAAGTTCAGTTCTAATTGGAAGAAAATAAACTCAAACCCCATTGCTATTGAGTTGATTCTGACTCATAGAGACTCTATAGGACAGAGTAGAACTGCCCCGTAAGGGTTTTCAAGACTAAATCTTTACAGACATAGATAACTTCATCTTACTTCCCGGGAGCAGCTAGTGGGTTTTGAACTTCCAACCTTGTGATTAGCAGCCCAATGCTTAGCCCACTGTGGTACCAGAGCCCCTTTAATTTGAAGGAACCTCAAAAGTTCATGGAACAATCCATGATCTTTTTATTCCATTATTTCCCATGAACTTTTTGAAGCCCTCTTGTGTATACCTTCTGGTAAGATCATTGTCTTCACAAAAATACTATAATATGTATAGCATATTGATATTATTTTTCCTACCTTGAAAAATAAGCTTGTATAGGAAACTGAGGGGGGTGTGTTCTGCATCAAGGCACATCTACAGAAAGAACAAAACAAACAACCCCAAAACTTAGTTATTTAAAGTGACAACTAACACTTTCTTCTTATTTCCGTAGGCATGTTTGCAACAGTAGCTGGGATATCCAAACATGCCCCTGTGCACTGGTCAGAGAACGTGATCGGGGCAGCCATTTGCTTCCCATACGTCATAGCTCTGGATGATGAGTTCATCACGGTTCACAGCATGTTGGATCAGCAGCAAAAGCAGACCCTGCCTTTTAAGAAAGGCCACATTCTACAGGACTTTGAAGGTACTGGTTTATAAAGACACCCTAAGAATTGAGGTATCAAACCTTTTGTGATAATACTGCTTTGGTAAATGTTATTAAGGACCCTTTAGGAACTAGGGGAGAAGCCTCATGGCACAATGGTTAAACTCTGCACTACTAACCAAAAGATCGGTGGTGTGAACCCACCGGTGTCTCCACAGGAGAAGATACCTGGCAGATTGCAGCCCAGGGAAACCTCCTGGGGCGGCTCTGCTCTGATGTACAGAGTCCTGATGAGTTGGAATCAACTCAGTGGCAAACACCATAAAAAGCCCTGGGTGGTAGGCTAAGCATGGAAGATACTCAGGTGACCACGACACAGGGTCTGTGCTTCTGTGACTCCAAGGTTAACAGGGAGAGTGCCATTCACACAAATAACTACAGCGGGTGAAGAGCTTGGTACACATGTGGCTAAGGCCCATTGGGAGAAAGCAGAGGAGAAACTACTTCGTAGAGATAGCAGGGGAGACTTCCTGAAGGAGGTGGTATTTGAGTCAAGCCTTTAAGGATGACTTAGCAGTTAGCTAAGCAGACATGGTATGAAAGACATGGAGAAAGATGCTTGCAGAGAGGAAAGCCAACACTTCAGACTACAAGCAATGAAGTAGTAGTGTAGTAGGCAAGTGGTGGTGGAAGAGTGGGTGAGTTGAGGCTGGGGAGCAGACCAAGGGTCTGCATGTATCAGTGGGCTGGATGAGAGCTTTAATTTTCTTCCTTTTGTCACAAATGTTCAAATGTAGAGAAGTTGGGAGCAAGGAAAATCAAGTGAATCACCATACGCCTTTTTCCTACAGTCAACAATTGTTTTGTTGAACCATTTGAAAATTGAAGGTATGACATGCCATCGCAGAATTCTAATTCCCAAGAATAAGGGCATTTCTTGTTTAACCACTGTCCCATTTTCACACCTGGGAATATTGAAATCAAGTCTATGTCATTTAATATCCTGCCCATGGCCCTTGTCCAGAAATGCTTTATATTGCTGTGGTTTTTTGGTTTTTTCCTCCTTCAAATCAGGATATAATGTAGATTTATGCATTTTATTTGCTAATTAAGAATTTTAGTTGAAAAATTGCTTTCTGTACAAAAGTAATATTTAGCTGAAAATATTTCCCCAGAAGGCAGCAGGTTCTGATTGGAAAGCTTAGCAGTAGAGCTAGTCTTGGGTTGTACTAATGACTCGCCAGCGAACTATCTCTGTGAGGTTCATGAGCAAAATGAAGCTGATGGATCAGGTTAACACAAAGAATTGTTAGGCAGTGAGGAGCTCTGGTGATACGGTGATTATGCATAGGCTGCTATCCTTATGGTCAGCGGTTCGAAACCGCCAAGAGCTCTGTGGTAGAAAGATGGGCTTTTTGCTCCCGTCAACAGTTACAGTCTTGGAAACCCACAGGGGAGCGCTGCGCATCAGCATCGGCTCGATGCAATGAGTTTGGTTTGAAATTTCGGAACAAGTCCTAACTCTGAGCTGGAGATATGTAGATGGCAGGTGAGTGTGAAATATTGTCATTGAATGGCTTAGAATATTGTCCCATAAGTTTCCTAAAACTCAAAGTCAAACTCACTGCCATCACGTCAATTTTCGATTTATAGCGACCTTATAGGATAGGGTAGAACTACCTTTGGGTTTCCAAAACTTCAAATCCAAATCCAAGACTACAAATCTTCATTGTACACTGTCAGGAGTCTGTCAGGAGTGCACTGCCTCCTCTTTCCCTTGCGGAGCAGCGGGTGGGCTCAGTGGGCAGCCCACCGTGCTATCCAGGGCCCCAACATAAACTTCCCTGTATCTAAACTGACTTGTACTGAAGGATATCACAAGCCTATACTTTTTAAATGAAGTACTATATCCCAAACCTGTACTTTTCCATAACTGTTGTTTGCAGTCTAATTGGAAATAGATTATGTGCTTGATATTAGTCGACCCCATCATTTTCAGGAAAAGAAGACAGAAATACGCATTGTATACTTTGGAAATGTAATATTAAGAGCTACCCTTTTATGACAGTTGAGAAGAGCAAGGAAGCAGTGTGAGTTATAGTTGCTGTAGCTCTGTATTGGGAAAGCTAATAAAATGGATCAACAAATCCGTCTTGGAGGAGCAGTATGTTTTCTTCTCCTTTTTTTATTTGAAGCCAAGTTGTATTATCACCAAAGAATTCAGCTCCACTTCCGTTTCACTTTTCCTCTGACAGCCACGCAGGCCGACGTGAGATCTGACGGGAAGGCATCTGGAGGGTTTTAAAGGCTGTGAGCCTTCTCTCTCTTAAATTTTTATTTTAAGTTTATTTTTTTACTTATATGAGTTTTTTTCCCTTTTTGTTTGTGGAATATAATACTTGCATAGAAAAACAAATTCTATGTAGTTTCTCAGTCCATCTCATCAAATAAAATTGGTAACAACATTCCATTAAATCCCCCCACCCAATACATGGCTCATTTCCCTCCACCCTGCCTCGATAGTTTCTTCTCCCTTCCATCTTCTCTGCACCCGTCTTTGGCCTCCTCTTAGTCTATAAAGTCTTATCTTTTGGTGAGAAAAACATGTTTCTATTTTATTTTCCTTTATAATGTATCAAAATACTTATCCTTATGAGGTTGACTACCTTTGCTTTGCATAATGTTCTCTGATTGTTTCCATATCTCGAGGTGTTTGACAGACTCATTGTTTTTTTAAGGATGTATAATATTCCATTCTGTGAATGTACCACAGTTTGTTTATCCATTCCTCTATAGTCTGGCTTTTTGATTGTTCCCATCATTTTCCTACTAAAAAAGTGCTACACTAAACACTTAGGTGTGCATATGTCTCTCTGTGTGGTTATTTTTGGTTATTTCTTTTAGGTGTTTATCAGAGAGATTGCAAGATTATAAAGTATTTGTATTTTCAGTTATTTAAGGAAGCACCATACTGATTTCCATAGTGGGTGTATAATTCTGTAGTCCCACTATCAATGTATGAGCATTCCAATTTCTCCACATCTTCTCCAGCATTTATCACCTTGTGCGTTTTTGAATTTTGCTGCAGGTGTTGGTGTGAGGTGGTATCTCATAATTGTTTTAATTTATATTTCTTTTATTGCTAATGAATGTGAGCATTTCTTCATATAATTGTTGGCCTCCTGAATGTCATCTTTAGTAAATCATTCATTCATCTTTTTTGCCCATTTTTTAATTGGGTTATTTGTATTTTTCTTATACAAGATCCAATAATTTCCTATATATGTATGAAATTATATAGGAAATATATAAATTTACCTGATATATCATAGCTAAATATTTTTCCCAACTTGTGAGTTCTGCTTTTGCTCTTTGGATAAAGTCTTTTGATGTGCATAAATATTGTATTTTTAGAAGAATTCAGTTCTCTATTTTGTCTTCTATAGTTTATTGCAATTTTTTATTATATTTGGTAGTGTATTTGTGCTGTGTATTAGTATCCATAAGTTTTGTCCCTGTTTTTTTCATTGATGTCTTTATAGTTCTAGGGTTTATATTTAGGTAGTTCATCTATCTTGGGTTGTTTCTGTGTGGTGTGAATTACGGGTCCTGTTTCATTCTTCTGAAGGGAGAGATCCAATTTTTCCAACACCATTTATTGAAAAGGCTGTCTCATGCCCACTTAATGTGTTTAGGTATTTTCTCAAAGATGGTGTCTGTAGGGACTTGGTTGTGTTTCTTGTTTCTCAATTCTAATCCATTGTTCTTCATGTCCATTGTTGTGCCAGTACTGCACTGTTATTTTATCACTGTGGCTATATAGTTGGTTATAAAGTCTGATACATTGTTTTCGTTTTTTAATAGTATTTTGTTTATCCTGTGTTTCTTTTCTTTCCATATGACATTATTAATTGGTTTTTCCTTTTCTTAAAGAATTGTGGTCGGATTTGGATCAACATTGCATTGAATTTATTAAGTGTTTTTGGTAATATTGACATTTTCATTATATTTAGTCTTCCTGTACAGGAGCATGGAACATTCTTCCATTTGTGTAAGACTCTTGGTTTCCTGCAGAAATGTTTTATAGTTTTCTTTGTATCAGTCTTGGGTTTCTCTGGTAAGCTTTATTCTTGGATATTTTGAGTTCTTATTATAAATGATGTTCTTTTAATTTCACTTTTGGTGTCATCATATTTCACAAAGAAAAATCTAACTGATGTCTGTATATCGATCTATGTAGCCTGCTACGTTGCCAAATTTTTCATTTAGTTTCAACAATTTTTCAACTGCATCTTTGGGGTTTTCTATATATGGGATTCTGTCATTTGCAATGTTTTCTTGTAGGTGAATTTTTTTCCCTTCTTTTTTTTTTGTTCCTCCCTTTCCAACCATATTGAATTTCTTCATAGGAAGAGTGATTGTCGCTACAAGCAAAGGAGTTTACATCTTGGTTCCATTACCTCTGGAAAAACAAATACAGGACCTCCTGGAAAGTCAGAGAGTAGAAGAAGCATTGGTCTTAGCAAAAGGAGCCCGGAGGAACATTCCAAAAGAAAAATTTCAGGTTTGTGTTGAGCTGATCACCTGAGCATACTTCCAAACCATCAGTTAGGAAAATTCGGATTTTGCTAGCATATGCCAGGCTGTGCTGATGGCTTTTGTTCCTGCTGCTTCATTTCCTCAGCAACTCTGGCCTCAGAGTGGCATCCACGTTTCACAGTTAAAGGAAACACGTCTCAGAGCAGTCGGGTGGCTCGACCACTCGAAGGTGTGGGGAAAGTCAGGTTCCAACCTCTGGCTTAATATACTGGGTTTTATTTTTAACCAGGTTCCTTTTTCAGTATGTCTTCTGAGAAGAATCAAGGACATGGTTTTTAAACACCAAAAGCGAGGGCAGGTTAATTTGTTTCCTAATTTAGAATTTTTGTGTCTTGGGATGAGATTGAATAAAAGCTTAGTCTCACATTATGTATAGGAAAAATGTTGTGAACCGTATAGATAAGCCATCTAATGTTGCAGGAACAAATCCATCCAAGCAATTTACTTCGGAGAACCCTTAATACACTGAAGGAACACTAGCTTAATGTAATTGGCATGACGGATGTAACTGATGTGATAGTCACAGTTATTCTTTGGTCCGATAAAATCTGCTTTCTGAACATAGTTACTTGCTCAGTTGTTAGGTGAGTTCAGGTTTCTCGCTATATGGGAGTAATAAAGGATAATATTGATGTGTGTATACTTTATATGTAAACTTATAATGAAAGGTTCTCATGAATGGATAATGACTTGCTAACTGATGATGAGTTAAGGAGATTTACACATATGATGGCTGTGGGACAAAGTGGTGCTTTTTGGCATCACTTGCTTTATGTAGCAAAAGGTATACAGGATGTGCAATGCATGATTATGGTGTGTGAAAGAGGACATCTTTTCTACATTTAAATCTTGATAAACTTCATGCCTGAAGGAGCCTTGGTGGTCTTCAGGTGATCGTGGGGAACGAAGGTCAGCGGTTGGTACCCACCAGCCACAACACGCTAGAAAGATGAGGCAGTCTGCTTCTGTAGAGATGTATAGCCCTGGAAACACAACCGGGCACTTCTGTTCTATCCTATGGGGTGACATTGACTTGAACGTACTCAATGGCAGTGGGTTGGTTTTCATTGTCATTGCTCAATTTTCATTATGGCTGATAGACTCTGTTCAGCTGGGGCTAGCAAAAGCTAAAAGAAGATATCTGTATTTGGGCAGTGTCTCTTCCTGTGCATTGTTGTACGTATTGCTGCGGTGGGGCAAGAAGGATGCAGGTTGGAGTCAGAACACTTGGGGCTGAATCTTGCCGCTGCCATGCCCTTGGTCCCCATTCTCTTCCCAGAAGTGGAAACGGTGGTAGCATTCACTGAGGAGGCCTCAGGACCAAGGTGTTGGTTGTATTGAAGGACCACACTAATGCATTCATAGTTGTTCTCGATGGACCACCTGCACCTAGCATCCTTTAAGTATGAAGAACCAACTGCCAACGAAAGAGTCAATTCTGACTCACAGCAACCCTGTAGGACAAAGTAGACCTGTTTCCGAGACTGTAAATCTTCATGGGAGCACACATCCTCATTTTTCTCCTACGGAGTGGCTGGTAAATTTGAACAGCTGGCCCTGGGCTTCGAACCCAACACTGAAGGCTTCAGTTTTCTTTGTGTGGCTTTGGCTGTTTTCTCCACTCTCTCTTTGATAAGAGTAGAGATGTGCAGTCAATGTTAGATCATATTATTAGTCATCTTGCTCCTTCTAACCTGCTCCCTGCCATCTCCCTGTTGCTCCAAACACCTATGTCCAGCCCTAGAAATATGCCTTGCTTCTCAAGTTCCCATAGTGACCATGTGCGTCCAAACACTTCTTATGTTTTAGCCTGGTTGTTTCAACTACTTCCTTTAACTGTGTCTTTAACATGTTTCCATGTCTCCACTCTACTAGAGTGGTCCCTTAAAACAAAATTGTGAATTGGGTAATGGCTTACAGAACAAATCAGTTTTCTATTCACCATTTGTACACAATATGTTTCATGTCATTGATTGCAGTCCCTACAATATAACATCACTGATCCCACTTCCACACTTTGACTCTTGTTTACATTCCTCCTCCTTTTTTATCCCTTCTGAAATCTGTCCTTGGGTAAATGCTACCCTTTTGATCTCAAGCGATTAATTATTCTAAGGAATGAGTGGTGTTACAGCTGCCTCATTGTGTTGTTGCCTTTTTAGACCTAGCTATCACACACAAGTAAAATTTTGCTGAAGATCATGCAACAATGGTTGCAACAGTAGATGGACAGGGAGAGGCGAGAGGCTCAAGCTGGATCTAAAAGAGGACATAGAACAAGGGATATTATTGCTGATGGCAGATGGATCTTGGCTGAAAGCACAGAATTCCAGAAAGATGTTTACTTGTGTTTTATTGGGTATGCAAAGGCACTAGACTTTAATAAATCCATAATAAATTGTGGGTAACCTTGAGAAAATTAGGAATTCCAGAACACTACATGTTCTCATGAGGAACTTGAACATGGATCAGGAGGCAGTTTTGCAAACAGAACAAGGGAATACTGCATGGTTTAAAAGCCAAGAAAGGTGTGCTACAGTTGTATCCTCTCACCATACTTATTCAATCTGTCTGCTGAACGAATCATCAGAGAAACTGGATTACATGAAGAATGTGGCATGAAGGTTGGAGGAAGGCTTATTAATAACCTACAGTATGCAGATAGCACAACCTGGCTTGCTGAAAGCAAGGAAGACTTGAAGCCCTTGCTGATGAAGATCAAGAATTTCAGCCTGCAGTATGTATTATGATGCAGTGCAAAGCAGACAGAAATCCTCGCAATTGGACCAATATGTAACATCATGATCAATGGAGAAAAGATTGAGGTTGTCAAGGATTTTACCTTGCTTGGATCCACAATCAATGCTTATGGAAGCAGCGGGCAAGAGATCCAAAGATATGTTGCATTAGGTAAATCTGCTGCACAAGACCTCTTCAGAGTATTGAAAAGCAAGGATGTTACTTTGAGGACTAAGGTGCACCTGACCCAAGCTCTGGGATTTTCAGTTGCCTCCTAAGCAGGTGAAAATTGGGACACTGAATAAGGAGGACTGAAGAAGAATGGATGTGTTTGAATTGTGGTGCTGGAGAAAAATGGTGAAAATACCATTTTTCTGAAAGGACACACCAGTCTGTCTTGGAAGAAATAAGGCCAGAGTGTTCCTTAGAACCAAGTATTATTAATAGAGACCAGCTCCTACAGAAAAAAAATCATGCTTGTTAAAGTAGAGGGACAGTGGAAAAGAGGAAGGCCCTCAAGGAGCTGGATGGACACCATGGCTGCAACAGTGGACTCGGGCAGAGGAACAATTGCACAGGACTGCACAGGACCTGCAGTGGTGGTTTTTTTCCTCTTGTGCATAGGGTCGCTATGGGTGAGAACTGACTTGATGGCACCGAGCAACAACAAAATAGGGTTGCTATGAGTCAGAATTGACTCGATGGTCGTGAGTTTAGTTTGTTCAGTGTGTTTGACTGAAAAGTGACCCATCGGATAAGTTTAGTTCCAGCCCTGAAGGGTGACTAAGGGTCATAGTCTCGAGGTCCCACTGATCTATCTGACTATCAAACCAATTTTTTGTTATAGTTTTGAATTTTATTTCACATTTTCCTCTATTCAACACCCTTTAATGCAGGGGTCCTCAAACTACGGCCTGTGGGCCACATGCAGCCCACTGATGACATTCATCCAGCCTGCCAGGTGTTTTTCCCCCTTTTGTTTTTTTTACTTCAAAATAAGATGTGCAGTGTGCCTAGGAACTTGTTCATAGTTTTTTTTTTAAACTATAGTCCGTCCCTCCAGCGGGTCTGAGGGACAGTGAACTGGTCCCCTGTTTAAAAAGTGTGAGGACCCCTGGTTTAATGTGATTCCTTCCTAAGTGGTCAGCAGTGATAGCTGGGCATCATCTAGTTCTTCTTGTCTCAGGGTCATGGTGACTGATCTTTTCATGGTCCATTAGTCCACTGGCATAGTTTTCTCCAGTCTTGATTTTCATTATTCTTCTTTCCTTGGGATGGGTAGAGATCAATATTTGGACCTTAGGTCAAAGGAAACAGAGGAAAGATCTAGGAAGCAAAGCTATGAATAGAGGTATAAACATAGGTGTGTACACATGTAAAGATATTAATTCATAAGCATAGAGGTATTGGCCTAGGTACATATATTTATATGGCAATACATGGAGGAAGTGGACAGACTTTGGGCCTCTGCTCAATCCCTCTCTCAATGCAAGAACACTTTGTTCTAACAACCTGGCATTCTGTGATGCTCACCCTCCCAACACGATAGCTGAAGACAAATGGGTGCATAAGCAAATTTGGTGAAGGAAGCTGATGGTACCTGGCTATCGAAAGATATAGCATTTGAGGTCTTAAAGGCTTGAAGTCAAACAAGCATCCATCTAGCAGAGAAGCAACAAGCCCACATGGAAGAAGCACACGAGCCTGTGAGATCATGAGGTGATGACAGAATCAGGTAACAGGCATGAGGAGACCCAAAACAAAAAAAAACATATTGTTAAAAACAAAGGGGCTCAGAGCAGAGACCCAAAATACATCCGTAGAAAATAGGACAGCCTCTCACAGACGGTCATAAGGAAGGGATGAGACAACCAGGGCACAGTATAGCATCAGTGAAACACACAATATTCCTCTGGTTCTTTGAGGCTTCCTCACCCCCCACTATCATGATCCCAATCCTTCCTTTTAGTTCTGGCTAGACTAGAGCATGTACATTGGTACAGATAAGAGCTCACGACACATGGAATCCAGGTCAGATAAACCCCTCAGGAACGGAAATGGGAGTAGCTATACCAGGAGGGTAGGGAGAGGTTGAGGCAGGAGGGGAGGAAGAGGGAATGGATTGCAATTATCCATGCATATCCCGCCCCCTTTCCCAGGGTGATGAACAACAGAAATGTGAGTGAAGGGAGACAGCAGTTAGTATAAGATAGGAAAATTATAATA